CCTATTCCAAGAAAGAGAGAGGCTCTTCCCCAGCACCCCTCTGCAGGCACTAGGAATAACAATAATTCTCACTTTCCCAGACAGCCCGGGCAAGCCAGTGGCGGTAAGGGCCAGCACTGCAATAACTGTGACAGTGGATGGGAAGACGGCCATTGCAGCAGGTAGGCGCTACCCTGAGTCACTGGTGGGAGCTACAAGGCAGTGTCAAGGTGAGGGCTGGCAAGGCGGGGTTGGCTCAGCTAGAGCACCTGTCTAGTTGGCCTGAGGCCATTTCCATCCCCAGCACCACACACACAGGAAGAAAGAATAAGATGCCCTGGATATAGGATTCTAAATTTTCCCAGGAGAAATTCCGGGGAAAGGAAGTGGATGCTTTTGTCATTTTGTTTATAAAACCATAGAATCAAAAAGATTCATGGAGTAAAATGAAGCTCAGAGAGGTTAAGAAACCTGCTCAAGGTCACACAGGGCAGGGACAATCCAGACCCCCACCCTATCCCTGGGACACTGCTTTCCTAAGACATTACATGAACTACAGACCTGGGTTCATGACTTTGCATTTTCTATCAGGAATCCAGGGTGCCTACGGGAGGCCATATTATAGACAAAGAAACTGAGGCATGGAGAAGTTACCTATCCAAAGTCCCACAGCACTAGCAATAAAGCTAGAGCCTGGATTTGAACACCTCTTTTTGATATCCAGGGTTATTCCCCTGATAAGTTTGCCTCCACTTCTAAAAGGAAAGCACCCAGTGGCCCTCATAGGCTTGGCCTGACTTTGCAGTTTCTTGGTGACTAGGACAGTCCTATGCCTTGCTCGTTGAGCCCCAGTAATCATGCCTTCCACGTTCCTCAAGAAGCTGTGGAATCCATGATCACTTATCCTGGTGGAGCTGGGGTACTAGGCACTTGTCTCACATCCCAGGAGCCTAGCCAGATGGGAGGCCAGTGACAGGCAGGACCCTGGTGTCTTCCTAAGGCTGTGAGCATCTAGGGAGAGGAATGGGAGGGACAGGCCTAAGTTTCCTTAAGCAGCCCGTGCTACCCAGAGTCAGTGTTCCTGTGTATTCCCTTCTGGGCTGAGGTAGCCAAAGGTGACTTGGTGATATGTCCACCCCAGCATCCCTGGCAGTCTGTAAGATGCCTCTGACCCTGTGGAGAGGATGTATTGCATCCCAGTAGCTCATCACCACAGCACAATTCTTCTAGCGCCCATGGCATGCTAATCCTGGGCCAGATACCAAGCCGACTTATCTCCCTAAAACCCTCCTGTGGTTTAGTCCCAGCATACCATGGCTACCTTGCTCTGCCTGGAGGTGGCCTTCTTGGCCCCTCTACCTTGAAGACCTGGGAAAGGAGAGAAGGGACATGAGGCCAGGCTGCTGGCTGTGCGTCCCCACACTCCCCAATTATCTGATTTAATTTTTAACTCAGAGCTAAGTTAGAGCCAGGAGGGGTTGCCATAGAAACCGTGTCCTAGTGCCTCGAGTTGAACTCCTTCAGACAGTCCCTGTGACGCTCAGGGTGCACGGCTGTGACAGAAAAAGCTTGAGGCATTAGAGAGGCCTGACACCGTGAGTTCACCTGCATCTCATCCTCTCCCTTTGCCTGGTCCCTGGCACAACCTCCCTGATCCTGGGACCTTCAGCTCAAGGAAGGGTAGGTGGCGTGTCTGCTGTCCCTGGAAGTTGGGGCCTTGGATGCTCTCCAGAACGGGCTGGTGTGCTGCATGGTGTGTCAGCAAGGGCTGTGTCCAAGACCTGTCCTGTCTGAAGAGGCTTGGGTCACCTTAGGGGTCTAGATAGATAGGCCGGCTCCCTCTATGAATTCTGCTTCGGTAGCAATGTGTGTTGTGATGTCCTGCTCCTGCAGGGGGCTCAGAGGAGACCAGATTTGGCTCTGCAATAGGACTAGAGAAGGGTGACCTGGCTCTGACCACACATAGGAAGAAAGTCTCTCTGGCTACACAGCTTTGTGTACCCTGGGGGTTCACATCTCGCTGAAGTCTGTTCTTAACTTAGTGGGTTGTCAGCCCAAGAAGGCTCCCACGGTGAAGGCTACATGTGAGTCTCTGAAGACAGAGTTCAGAATCACTAGGCTAGAGGCCAGGCCTGCCCTGGGGAGTGACAGGGCCACAGGGAGCCAAGCTTTTCCTCCAGGGCTGGACCAAGCAATCCCAGAAGTCATGCTGTCTTGCTGCTCCCTTCTTCAGTGCTGCATCTCCAGCTTTCCAGCCCCTAATCCCAGCTCCGCACTGGCTGGCAGGGGTGTGGGGTGCTTACTTAGACTAAAGTAGCATTCATGAAACTCCAGCAGACCACCACAGACTCCAGGTGAGGCTAATAAAACCCAGATAACAGGGCAGCTCTTATCTAGTCTCCCCACCTCCTGGCAAAACAAGAGTCCTTGAGCCTTGCATAGAGGCCAACTTCTATGTAAATGCAAGCCTCATGCCACGTGGATTGTCACCCGCCCTTGACTGCCAGGACAGATTGGTCAGGAGCTGAATGGATGCCCAAGCACATGGCCTAGCAAGCTCTGCTCACCTCTGCTCCATGAGCTTCCCTCTTCCCTGGGACTCACATTTGTTACTGCCAGGCTGGAGCATGGCTAGATTGAAAATCCCAGCTCAGCCCTGGCCAGAGCTTGACACCCTTGTCCTGAGCCAAATCCCACCCAAGATGCTGTCTTCACATCCCTCCCAGCCCTGAGGTCCTGGATACTGAGTAGGGGGCCCATCTGTCACATAGAGCTCTCTATATCAGGGTGACATTCCTCTACAAATGGCTTGGCTGTCTGGCAAAACAGGGAGACAGGGCACCATTCTCCCAATGCTCACATCCCCTCCCACCCAATAAAGCAAGGAAATACATAGGAAAATAGTCTTTATTGGTCTTCTGAAACAACAAACCAGAAATATAATTTTGCCTTTAAAAATCTTCTGTCTCAGGCTAAAGATATCACCACTGACAACACCCTCCCTCCTCCAGGCCCTTAGAAAATCCCAGCTCTGGGATTGGTCCACCAGCCAAAAGAGGAAGGAAGGCTGTGGCTGGGCCTAGAGGATCCTGTGGTCCTTCATAGCAGCCTGTGCTCTCTGTCTACCGGCCAGAGAACCACCGTGAAAGCTCTCCGGATTCTCCCATTGCATGCCCCTGCTAGTAGAGCAGGTGATGGAAGAAAAGGAAAAGGGCTGCCAGGCTGCCCGATGCCCCCATAGACACATCCTCAGTGCCTTGCTGTCTAGCTGGCCTCTTTCTGGCTACCACCTAAACCCTTCTCAAGGCAAGGTATTAGCCTGGCATCTCCTACAGAGGAATACCAGTCTCTAAGGAGGGGGCAGTTGAGAACAGCAGACAGCAATCCTGAACATGTGCAGAGCCCTCACCAGATAGGACCGCAGCCACTTTTTAGCTGGAACAGCCCAGGTGCAATTGCACGCTCTCAGGAAACCAAGCAGAGCCTATGAACCCCTGGGGAAAGGAAGCCCTGTTGCTGAGGCCTCCACACAGAATGTAGCCATCCTGTTCCTGTTCCTGCAGTCTGTTGGGAATGTGTTGAAGGCAGCCAGCCTCATCCAGGACCCACAGCCTGACATCTGCTCTCCTTAAGGTGAACCACCAATCTCAGAGCACAGCCCAGACCCAGCCTTGTATTTGAGGTCACAAACAAAAGATGCAGGTGACAGAGGAAGCAGCAGAAGCAGAGGAACAGAAGTGACACTTCAGGCTGCAGCAGTGGGAACTGCTGGGTGTGCCTGGGACTGGCAGGGTGGAGCATCCCAGGCACACCCAGGGGTCTGCAACTGAGCTCTCAGGAGCCTGGAGCTTGTCGTGCGTGCGAGTGCGCGCACGCGCGCGCGCACACACACACACACACACACACACACACACACAGCTCCTGATCTCTGGTAAACCTAGCAGGAGAGGTACTAGAGTTGCCATGGCAATGGGCAATCCCTCCAACAGCATGCTGTGGCCCACTTTAGAAGGTCTCCAAGGGTCCCTGTGTTGTTGTCCAGGACCTAACCCCTGATGACTTAGGAAGACTGTAGTCAGGAAGAGAGCCTATGGCCTCTAGGCTGAAGGGACAGAGGGCCTCAGTCCCCCAAGATCTCATAGTTACCACCTGGGGTGTGTGTGTGTGTGTGTGTGTGTGTGTGTGTGTGTGTGTGTGTGTGTGTGTGACTTTAACCCAAGGGACTGTGATAGCAATGCCCTGTGTGTGACAGTGAATTAGTTTATTGAGTAAAACCTTGTCTCAAAACCCTATACTAGAACAAGAATATAAAATTAATAAACCCAGACCAATGTAGTCAGAGAAGTCTATAGCAGATAAAGGAAGATAATGGCATCCACCCAAGGAAGACATTATAGTCACTTTGGTTTTTCTAAGCACTGTACCCAGATCACAGGGCTGGGGGATGTTTGCACGTTGGCACCAGCCACTGAGAGCCGGACTAGCTTCACACTGCAAGGACCTAAGAATATCTTTCTGGCTTCAAAAGGAGTCACGGAAATCTACCCCTGGCTCCCCTGTCCCTCCCTCTTAGGCCCTAATGCAGACTGAAGTGGGAATGAGCAAGAGGTAGGGAGGATCTCCAGCTGTGCTGACCCTGGGCAGGAGGGAGGTGTTCGGTGTTTGTGGTGTAGGTTCTTCTCAATGGCCAGAGGCCTACAGGGACACTCAGGTGTTCCAAAGGCCAGGGGCCCAGAGAGGGCCTTCCACTGGAACCTTTGGCCAAGGGAAACCTCTAGAACCTTGGAAAGAGACTGGGAGGCTGCTCTACTGGAGGGCAGATGGGGGCCAGGTTGCTGAGGGAGGCAGTAGCAGTGTCAGGCTGAGGCAGGGCCTGTGATGGAGGGAAGGGCATCCCTCTGGTACCAGTGTCGATGGGTCTCCTTGCTGTCCTACCTGGGCCAAACAGATAGCTCTCAAGTTACAGAAGAGATCTGTTTGATCTTCATGCTCACCCTCAGGGTCCCCCATCAGTGGCTGGCTCAAGCCACAGAAGAGATCTGTTTCTGATCTTCATGCTCACCCTCGGGGTCCCCCATCAGTGGCTGGCGCTTCTTGAGCTCCCGGTGGTACTTGGCCATGAGGGAGGCATAGATGCAGCCGTAAGCAGCAGCCACCACCATCATGATGCAGACAATGCCACAAACCACACCCGCGATGATCACTGTGCCGATGGCTCGCCGCACGCTCACAGGCCGGTACCTCTGCTTTTGAGGGCAGGCAGTGCTGGGCTCAGGCTCAGGCTCAGGCCCTGGCTTAGGTTTAGCAGGCTCTGGGCTGGCTTTGGTGCAGGGTGGCCCTGGAGCATCCATCCCAGCAGAGTTGTTCTCATCCTCTAGCTGGGAACAGTAGTTAAACATCTCCATGGGTACCGCACGCATGTCCTTCCCCCTTAGTTCCTTGGGTAGGGTGCAGGCAAGCTGGTCTAGACGACCCCCTGCATCCAAGATAAAAAAAAAAGTGCTGAGAAGGCATCTGGAACTGGGGTGCTCTCCCCTCCTCCCTGACCTCCAATGGGAAGGCCCAAAAGGAACGGTCCTGCCAGTAATGTAGTCAATCCTGATTACGGAAGAGGAAGTAGTACCGATAAGCCAAGGACTGTGATACATGTGTGTCATACAGAAGGCCACCACTGCTGCATTCCTGTATTTTACCATTCCTGTATTTTATACAGAAACTCACATCCATCTCATTCAAGCCTGTCCCTCCAAGGTCACACTGGCCTGCAGGAGGACAGCAAGGCATGCTCAGGACACGACTTTGGTACAGCAAGCCATGTCCCTGCCCAGATTGTACATCTCCTTCTCTGCACAGATGCTCGATGATGTCTGTGAACCCTTGCCACTGTTTTCAATACAGTGCCTTGGCCTGTGTCCCTTCTCACAAAGAGAGCAAAAGTCAGAGCCACTGCCTCATCCACTCCTCCACACAGAGCTTTGATGGCCCGAGGACACCAAGGAGAGGGCATGGTATCCGTCTTAGTCAGGTTTGCGCTAGCACAGCGGTATCTAGGGAGGAGATCATGGAGACACAGGAAAGTGTCTGACCCCAGGGGAGGCTGGACAGGGCAGGGAAAGAATATCAGTGCCTAACTGGGTAAGGTAAGCAAGCGGGAACTAAGGACCGTAACATGGACAGACGCCCTTGGAGCCGGAGCCTTCTTTCAGCTTCTAGAGAGACTCAGCTACAGCACCACTTCCGGCTCCCTCTCCCAACACAGCCACCTAGAGTCCAATCTCACAAAAGACCTTACTGGAGAATGCTCAGGGTGCTGGTGCACTGAGGGTTTTCTTGGTTTAGTTTTGTTTTTTAAGGAGTGCAAGGCTGAAGACAAGGTCTGGGAAAGTAGCTCCGGCCTGCTGGTTAAGGGCAAGGATGTTCCTGCCCTAAGGCCAGCACCAAGCCTTTAATTCCACCTGGGTAGTGCTGGAAAGGCTGAAGTGAAGTGAGCATGTAACCAAGGCCACCTTGGTTAGAATGGCAGAGAACCATTATGGGAGTGAGAAGGGAGTGACCTCATTTTCCTGCACCAGAGACCTGAGATTGAATCCTGGCTGTGTTGTCACCTGGAAAGTATTTAACTTACTTAATTATGCCCAAATCTTATGTCCTTAGCTGCGAAATAAGGATATCTGCCTCAATTAGCTGCTAGAGAGATTAAAATAGATAACGTGCACAAAAGGGTATTTGTAAAACTGGGAACTAAACAACAGCATTAATCATTTCTCCATGTACAAAAAACAGAATTATCATAATGACTAATAGCTCAAAGTACTTTATAGTTTGTAAAGTGCTTTTAATTAATGCATCCGAGTAGCATGGAAATCTGAGCTGCATGAGTTAGTGGCTGGATAGGGAATGAACGGGATAAGAGTAAGGGAACACACTGTGTTATTTTCAGAATTTCAGCAATGGTTTGTTAATGCCACATAACCAAGTAGCTGGCTTGTGCTGGGCACTGACTGTGTCCTACTGTGTGCACCTGAGTTTATGATACCACTAGCAAATGAGCAAGAGAGTCCGGGCTCCACCGAGCACGTCCTTCATGCTGGATACTTCTCAAAAGGCCTCATACACACCTGCCCTGTTTAGTTCTCACAATCCGCCTTTCTCCCCTTTTACAGATATGCCACAGAGATGTTAATTAACTTCTCAAGATCACACAGCAAGCAGGTGGCAGGGCCAAAATTCAAACAAGAGCTGTTCATTTTCCCATTCCATTGCTGCTCTACCTCCCAAGTGCTGGGATTATAAGTATGAGCCTGGCTAAGCATTCATGTGATCAGTTCATTTGTTCATTATAAAACTTACTCAGGCTAAATAAAGGCAGAGAGGTCCAGAGAGATGGCTCAGCCGGTAAGAGCACTTGCTGCTCTTGTAGTTTCCAGAACCCAGCTGGGCTGCCCATAACTGCTTATAACAGTAGTTCCAAGGAGCGCCCTCTTCTGGCTTTGGAGGGCACTGCATGCATGTGGTGTACATAATACACTTGGGCACACATGCATACACTTATACATAAAATAAATAAACAAAACTTTAAGTTGGGGGAGAAACCAGGAGTATTGCCTGGCAAAGTTTAGGCTCAGCCTGGAATACAGAATGAGTCCCAAGCCTGGGGCAAGAGTCGGGCTCTGACTTAACAACAAAGAGCTGTCTAGACAGCTCAGTGAACAGAGTCACTCACTGACCAACCCGCTGGCCTGAGGTAGATCCCTAAAACCTACACGGAGGAACCAGAGAACCAACTCCTCTGACTTCCACATGTGTTCTGGGGCATATGTGCACACATGTGCATAAGTGTGTGTTCACATATGCACACGTGTTCAAATAAATAATAAGTTTTTTAAAGGAGGGGGAGGGAAAGGGAGTAAAACTAAAGCCCTCCAGCTGCATATTAAGTTTCTTATCAAAACTTCTTGGAGCAGGGGACTTCTTGGGACAGGAAGCTGCCAGCACCTTCACAGGAAAATGGTTGTGTGTGTGGGTTTCAGTTACATTCTGCCCTCATGTGAGAGGCAGGAGGCCTTATTATTGCCAGGAAAGGTGATTGTTCTTCCTGCCCTGCAGGGAAGCCCCAGAGGCATACTAGTGGGATAGAGAGCACAGAAAAGAGCACCATGTGTCTTTAAGTCCCCATGGAAAACCTAAGAAAGGGAGGCAAAGGTACAGTGTGCCCTTAATGAGTCTTAATGAGCAGAGAGGAGCAGTGCCTGACCTCCACTGCCTGCAGGGAGGTAATGATATTTAGGGAGAGGGATGTAGCTCTTCCTTCCCCGACCTCATCCCAGCCCTCACACCTGGGGGCAGGGGTAGGGGTGGTAGAGCTCACCTCTGTAGGAGAACCACTCCAGCCAGTGTTTAAACTCTCGAAGGTTACAGTCACACTCCCATGGGTTGTCCCCAACCTGAAGCAGCTGCAGGCTTGCCAGGGGTTCAAAGGTCAGCCTGTCCAGGCTCTGCAGACGATTGGAGCGAAGGGACAAGGATCGCAAAGCCAAGAGCCCGTCAAAAATCCCTGGGGGCAGCTGGGCCAGGCCATTGATAGACAAATCCAAGTGGCGAAGCAGCGTGGAGTGCTGGAGCAGGTCCCTGTCCAGGGTCCTGATGCTGTTGTTCCGCAATTGGAGCTCTGTCAGGTTGACCAGGTCCTGGAAAACGGACCGAGGTAGCTGGTCCAGGAAGTTGTTGGACAGGTCCAGCCGCTGAAGGTTGGACAGGTTGGCGAATGCCCAGCTGGGCAGGGCACTCAGTTTGTTGTTCAGGAGCAGAAGGCTTTGGGTGGCAGCGGGCACATCCGGGGGCACAGTGGTGAGGCCCAGGCCACTGCAGTCCACCTCCAAGCTGCGGCTGTCACATGTGCAGGAGAAAGGACAGGCAGGGAGCACCTCCACAGCACACAAGGCAATCCAGCAGGTGATCCCTAGGGAGGAGTCAGGAAGAGAAAGTAACCGGCTTGGGTTTTCCAGCCTCTGTTTCCCCCTTCCCTGCTCATGCCCTAGTCCTCTCTTGGCCTCATCTCCTTTGACACAAGCTACAGTCAGTTCATATTCACTGACCACACAGGAAGGTGCTTGGGAACCTGAAACATCCATGCTAAAGGACATCACACTGTGATTTAAAAAAAAAAAAAAAAAAGTGGAGTGGCCTAGAGGACAAGGCACAGCTTCTCAGTTCCTGTTCATGGCCCCCACTGATAAGTGTCTCCAGTCCTAGATGTTCTAATAATTCAAATATTTACAAAATATAAGATTTTAGATTATCAGGGAAGCTTTTCAAAGTCAGTGGCCATAGGACTTGGGTTCTCCCATGGGAACCTCATCCTCACCTGAAGCCACAGCACACTAAGATATGCTTTGCACATGAAAGTCGAGTCCAGAATATGTATGCCCTACAGCATCCAAAATGCTGACCCATTTACTGATTCTCATGTCTAAGGTAGGACCCAGGCCCAGCTGGGGTCTGCATCAGAGCACTGTGAAACAGCAGGGTACACCAGCGGCTCCCAACACTAGAAGCCTGTTCAGGATTGCTCTATCTACATTTGAACGCTGAAGCTGCCAGGCCCATCCTATACTTCTAGTCTTAGGGTACAAGGTAGCATTCCCGAGTGGATCAAGCAACAGGATTCTTGCCATGTCTTGTTTTGGCCCAAAACCCTTCCAAATAGAGTGTGTGGATCCAGCCTACATGCCTGCTAGAAGTGAGCCCCCTACCCATAGTCAGGCCCCTCTGGTGGTGACCCTGTAGTCAGCCTCAGTGGAGGTCTGCCTTCCTGGGAACCTGGGGAAATAGCTCATGCAGTTCTGTCTCCATTGAATCAACTCGACCTAGAGTCCTGAGAAAAGCCTCCAGATGGAGAACTGGTAAAGTTCAAAGCCAGACGCCACCCACGGGGCCCCACTTGGATGGCCAGCAGCCAACCCGACCAGTGCACCTGGATGAGACAGTCTCCAGTCTGTCTGGGGGTGTCTAGTCATCTGAAGCCCCAGAGGGTAGAGCTTGAGGAGACAAAATGACACTCTCCCTGCCCTTTCTTGTGGGATTAATGGCAGTGAAGGGTACACCATGAGGCTGACACCTGAGCCACTTTGTTCTTGATGGGAAATGAATACAACTTACCTATTACAGTCACCTGGAGACCTCTCCTTGCTACCTGGGGCCACCTGAAATGACCTCTACCTCTCTGAGCCAGCTTGCCCCGTACCACACAACCATACACACGCATGCACACACACACAACCACACACCACCTGAACAACAACTCTTTGCATACATCTGTATTCAGCACTTAAGAGGCTGAGGCAGAGAATCACAAGTTTGAGATTAGCCTGTGCTACTTAAGAACTAGCTAAAGAAAGTGAAAGAAGGAATGGAGGGGACATGGAAGGAGGAAGAGAAAGAGAGAAAGGGGAGAATTGAAAGAAATCAGGAAGAGGAAAGGAGGGAAGAGGAGAAGAGAGGGGAGGGAAGGGGAGGGGAGGGACTCAACCGATCACTAGGACAATCAATATCAGGGGACACTCACTGGCAGGAGCCACACTCCACACACTTTCTGGGAAATAAACGGGCAGCTGGACTCCTCCCCCCCATCCCACCCCCCTCTGCCAAACTCAGAGTTGCAGCAAAGCTCTATGACAAGAAAACATAACCTTGTACAGAGGTGTCAGCGTGATCCTAGGATGAAAGGGATCTGAGTCCCTCGGATAGCCATTCACCTGGTGAATAATTCAAGCCGCTTCATGCCAGGGCAACTGGACTGAAGGCCAGGGAGGTCAGGCAGAGCAATGTCCCTCTGGGCCATTTCTTTCTTCTCACTGTATAGCCATGGGCAAACCAGCTAAGGGGGCCTTGTCCCTTTGAAGAGAATTTTCATGGGCAAGGCTGCTTTCGCTAGTATGTAACCTTAGTGTGCCACATGTACAGGGAGGAATGCACCAGCCCCTTCTTCCACAGCTGCACGCCAAGGGCTCACTGGTGCCTCCACAGAGCTGGGAAGACGGCGGCATACAGACCCTGCCAGGGTCTCTGGTTCATTCAGCAGATGAGACCAAGTGGAAGGCAGCTTCCCTTATAGCCGAGGCTGACTGATACTGCGGACCAGGGTGGAGCAGATTTCTGCCCCTGCACAGCACATGCTGCACACGCTACAGATCCCAGTTAGCAGTAGTGAAGCTGGACCACTCTCCAGCAGAACTCTTAGCTGGTCATTGCCAGGGAATGAGAAGCATGAGGCAGAACCAGCTGTCCAGCCTCCATCTCCCAGCCTCAGGAAAGCACACTGCATGAACTGTCTTTACTTAGCAAGGCCATGAGTCTGAGCCTCCAAAGGAAGGCCTTGGGCACCCAGGAAGGTCAGACATCAAGCCCGTCACCCTGTCAGATACACACACCCCAACCCCATGCTGGGCCCATACTCACAGGAGACCTGCCTCCACTGCAGGGCAAGCTTGCTCCTCTGCTCTGGGCCACCGCCTGATGCCAGCATGGTGGAACCCACACTCTCTGCAGCTCTGGAGAGAGAGCCCCTCAGCCCCTCAGCATGCACCGGCTGTCAGTCCTGAGAGAGCGCCAGAGAGAGAGAGAACACAAAACATTTGGAGCCGGTTCCAGCCCAGGGGTTAGGGACAAGGCCCAGGTGTCTCTTTACATTCTTCATGTCCTCTCCTGTTGCTCTCACTGTGAGTAAGCTGTTGCCTCCTAGGGGCTCTGGAGGGCACAGGAACTGCCAGCTGAACCCCCAGCTCAGCCCTCTCCTTCCCTTCCGGGCCTTCCCCTGACTCCCCTGGGGGTTCCGCTCCCTAAAGCCTCTGGTGGGCTTTAAAAACGATTTCATTGCAATATTGCTTCCTCCACCCAGGCTTACCACGCCACAGGTGGGGAAATGAAGGCACATCTCTCCTAGGTAAATGAATGAGCCCCCTCTCATTTCTGAGCCTCTCATTTCTCCCCCAGGATGCACCCCTTCCACCCCCCTCCCCAGAGCTTACCATAGCCGTGAGGAGGCAGAGGCTGGGTCCCCCTTGGCAGCGCCTGCTGACGGGATGTGGGGTGCTGTGTGGCCCCCAGCTTCTGATCCCACGGCCACCCTGCGGTGAAGCCCAATGATCTGCTTTCTGCCAGCTAGCCGATCTATAGCTGCTTCAGCTTGGGGTTCCTGCCCTTCAGCCGTTGGCCCAGGAGAAACTGAGGCCTAGAGAGGGTGAAATGGCAGAGGGTTAGAAGTAGGGAGCAGGTCACTCTTCCAGGGAACAAGTGGGCTACTTACCCTTTCTAGGGTCTGCCACAACCCAGAGTCTTCTAAAGGAGGCCCAGGCCTACTTATCACCCCAGCTCCCTCCAGACATAGGTAAGAAGCCTGCACCCTGCCATCTCCATCAGAAGGGAAGCTAGAGCCGTTTCAAGGCACTAGGGACAATGGGAGCCAGGAAAGGGTCAGATAGGGGAGGCTGTACTATACCCCAGATGCCCGTTAGTACCCAGAGGGCACTGCTATCTGGAAACGCTCCTCCCAGGATAGCAGCAAGTTTGACCTTCTTTGACTACCAAGTTCATGGCTCCTGTATGGTTCCACTTGCAGCCCTCGTAGCTCTGTTTAGTCCTAGAGCTCCCAGGCAATGGCAAAACAGAGCTGACACTGAGGAGGTGAGTGGAGCTGCCAGGGTGCTTGGGCATTCCGTCTAGAAGCCAGAGCAGGCTGACCCAGGTTTCCCTCGGGTGTTTGGGGAGTGCTCCATTGCGTTCTCCCAGCATAACCCCATTTCATTGTTGTTTTGTTTGTTGTTTGAGCGCAGGCTGGCCTGGGACTTGTTATGTATATCAGGCTGTCCTCAATTTCACAGAGATACACCTGCCTCTGCCTCTAAGTGCTGGGCTTAAAGGTGTGTGCTACAGTGCCTAACCCATTTTCTCTGCCTCCACTCCATCCCACCTTAGTAATCTTCAGGAAGCCACCAAGGTGGCCTGTGCTGCTGTGACCTATGTGGCCCTCATAGGTCACTCTGCTCTGCTCCCTTGCTGGGATCAGAGCAGCCTTGACCTCACCTCCCCACTTCCCAGTTAGGAGGCGGCAGCAGCTTGTGAAAGGTCCAGCAGGGGCTGCCCACCAAAACTGAGCATGGCTATAACTCGGCACGGCCGTAGGCTAAGGGCAGAAGCCTGGCCCTGGCTGCCATATGCGTGGACCCAGGTTCACAGTCAGTCTGTGGGTTCAAATCCATGACCTCCATCTCCTTCCAACACACTGCTGAAACTCTGCCCCAGCTTCCCAGCCCTAAAAGTGACGGTCTGATGCTCAGTGGGTGGAAACAGAGTGGGTGTGTGTGAGGTACACATCACCTAAGGAATTTCAGCAAAGGCTCCCACCTCGCCTTGAGCCCATGATGGGCATCTTCGTCATAAGGTGAGGCCAGTCTCACAGACGCCTGAGCCTGACACAGGCCGTGGCCAGTCACAGGGGCCCATTTCATGTCGTTCTCACCATATTCTGATTTGATATATTTCTGTCCCTCACATGCAATGCCTTCTGAGCAGTCTCCCTCTCACAACGGCCCTCTAGCCCCTGCCTTTAAAACATCAGTCACACCACAGGTCATAGCACCTGTCAAACAGTAGGCAAGTTATAGCCACCCAAATGCATAGCTATCACCAGCTTGCCAAGGATACATGGTGAGGATGGGTTACCGGCTTCTGAGCCAGGCTGTTTACCCACTTCCGGGTGGCTGTCAGCCTGCAGGGGCCCTAATGGGGAAAGACTTATGTGTGCACAGAGCTCTCCGACACAACCTTGGAGCACTGTATGCAGCAGAGTTAGGTGGACATATAAGGAGAAATCTGAGACAAGCATATCCTAACACGCGTCCTTGCACACATGTACTCCCACACAGGGGTAATAGATCTGTGAAGCTAGGCATGTTCATGGGCACATGCATGCACACCCACATACACACACATCCCAGCACTTCTTAGCAATAGTCATTGGGGCAGCAAAGGAATGCCTCACAGTTCCAGCATACCCCCAGCAGGGGAACACGGGGACACCTCCAGCCTGGAGGGGATTGCTGCCGAGAGTCCCACACAGCAGCCACAAAGCCAGGCCAGTCTTCTTGTTCAGGCCCAGGTGGGCTGAAGGCCCTGGCCAGCTAGCTGCTGCCCCCATCCCTGTGCCCTCCCACAGGGGGACAGGCTCCCATGAAGGTTCTTCCTCTCACTCTGCCCCCTATGATGCCCCCGGGGCCCTGCATAACCAGCACAGGCTGGGGTGTTGTCTACTGAGGTGGCAGAAAGGACTTTGGTGACTGGTGTGTTCTGGAGAAAAGAGGGCATGTCTAGGAGAAGATACCCTGGCTCTCTCTAGCTAGCGTGTGCCCCCTGTGGCTTGTGGCCTCTTGGTTGATGTTAGCACCTTCCTGATCCTCCGAGAGATGTGGGGGAAGGGCACTGCCTAGCTTTTCCACTCCAAGTCCACTCACGCACCTCCCAGTGAAAGACCCTTCCACCCCGAAACAGCAGAGACACCTCAGGAAAGGGGTGACCTATATTGGGAAGCAGAGGACAGCTGCTGCTGCAGGCACTGGGCAACTGCTGGAATAAATTAACATTCCGTGGGAGTGGGAGACAGGCTAGAGTTGGAGGTCCTGCCAGAGGGCCCCCTGTCTGTCCATCTCACACACCTCCATCTTGTAGCTCATGGGCACTGGATACAGGACCTGCTCCAAAAACTAACCTGTTTTGTCCTAGCCCTAGAAACAGAGAGCAGAGGGACCAGGCTGGGCCCAGCAGGGAATCCCTGAACTCCACCGGGCTCCAGTTTGAAGAATGGGACTGATAAACTAGGAGTGGCCAACCTCGGCACCTCCCAAACCAGAAACATGTGGTCTTAAGTCAGATGGGCTAGTGAGGTCAGATAGCCCCGAACCTTTCAGAAATGCTGAATCTCAAGTCCCACCCAGACTGGCTAAGTGAGAATATGCTGGGTACCAAGAACCCAGGCAGTTCAGGGACATATTCAAGATTGAAAAGCCTAGGCCAGCACTCTCAGCCAGGGTCTAACAACTACCCAGCTCTAGGCCAGGAACTGGAGACATCATAGGCTGCATATGGTGATCCTGGAGGAGCTGAGACAGAAGATGGCAGATATAAAGGAAAACTGCATCTGGTGCTCACCCAAAATCTTAACTAACCTTGCCTAAGGCAGGACAGCACAAGGGCCCCAACCTGAGGGCCTCCTACAAGCCTTTACATGGGAGGATGCTAAGCATCACCGGGAAACAAGCATGGAAAAGCTTGGGCAAATGAGGAATATAGATTGGACCCGAGTTACCTGGCCACATAGCTGCTGACTCAGCTGCCCTCAGAATCTCCTTCCTCAGCCCCAGCCCTCAGATAAAGGCTGAGTCGGAAACAGGGACAGACAACCCCTCATTCATATAGAAATTTATCTTTTATAAGGCACCTCCTCATGATGGTTTCACTAGAGCTGAGCAAACAGCCATTCCTGTCTCCATCCTACCCACAGACTAAAAGATCTCCAGAAAACCACTCCTGGGTGCGAGCTGGGGGATGTGGTGGGGCAGTCAGGGAGTGGAGGATTGGAGCAGCGGGCAGGTGAGGCAGTAGCGGGGTGCACGTGTTCCTGCTAGCCCGACGGCTGCTGTACCCACTAGAGATAGGGCGTGGGAGCGGTTGCCCCTGGAATCCCAGCTGCCCCCTCCCGCAGCTTGGAGCAGCCAGCCAGGCTTGCTCTGCAGAGCATCAAGGTTGGGATGACAGAGTGCACCTGCCACCTGCCCTCCCTCCAATCTCTCCCACAGATGTAGGCCTACTCTCCCTATGATGTGGGCTCACACTTAACTAAAAACCAAGAACACCAGGCCTGGGATCCACAGGATTCCTCCAAGCTCCTTCTTGGTACCCCTCAAATCGAGTGTCTACAACATGCAGCCCATGAATGCCCTCCTGACACCTGGGCCAAGGCTGGGCATATCCTATCTATTGCCCCTGGGTCAAGACTTCTGCACCACAGTTCCAGCTCCATACACCAGAGGGGAGGCAGAAAGGGAATGTATGGGCTACACTATCCTCTTTGTCCCTCAGGGAGGCTCAAGGCTGGTGGGTGGCTGAGCTAGGACAGTAAGCCTGCAAGTCATTCCGCCCCTTCCCAGAGGACTTCCAGGGAGCCTGGACATCTGGTCTGAGCAACTGAAATTCCATGTGGCCCAGAACACAGGAAACTGAAATGTCCCCTGGTTTGCGGCCTTGCCATGAGACCCTTCTAGGAAATACCCCCATCTGTCCCATCAGTCACCCCTAAGCACATATTGCCTACTAAAGCAGTTCCTAAACCCCTTCTAGATGTCTGCTTGGAGCAGCCATACACCCTCCCTCCGGGTCCCTCTCAGTCCACTATTTTCTCACTTCCAGCTTCTTGAGTCACATTTCCTTGTCGAGTTCTCCCTGTCATTGACAGAACCCCTGGGAAGCAAAACAGGGAAGCCCCTGAGCCACCCAGCACACACCAGGGTTGCTCTGGGAAGCGGAAGAGTCCATTGAGGACCCAAAAGGTTCCCACCATTCACTGCCTCCCTGGGCAGGAGCCAAGAAAGATCACCCACCCCACACCCCAGCTTCATGCTGACTCCCTCCTCTTCCCAGCTTTGCACACTCTCTCTCTCTCTCTCTCTCTCTCTCTCTCTCTCCAGCCCCCTCCATCACCACCCACCTGGCCAAAGCAAGACCCTAACTTGGGGAATAAGAATAGGGTAAGCGTGTCCTGAGAGCAGGTACATCCTCTAGCCAAACCTCAAAGAACACTGCTAGGGGGCTTAAGAAGCCGGTCTCTTTGCCTGCCCGGCCTGGTTTTCCCCAGCTCCCTCTTCTGGCAGAGCCAGAGCCCTCCTGCAGTGGGAAGGTGGGGTGGGAGCGCCGGGCTCTTCTTGGCAGCTTGGAAGCTGATGTTGGATTTCCCTACCAGCTGGACTTCCCCCGCCCAGTGCCACGTGCTGGCTCCTTCCCCTCCCCCCACCTGCTGTAGTTACCTAAGCTG